ACAAATGCCTGTTTGCCTTTACACAGCATGCCAGCAATCCAGTATGATCAGGGTAGCTGCTCTGCCCTTTTAAAAAGGTTAACTTCCCATTATGTGATCCGTCCGGGTTACCACAGCTGTGATTATCCACACATTAGGCCCTGCAAAATGTACTTGATGGCACATTTAGTTCCCTAAATGATTTAGCTCATCCATTAAAGCAGAGTGCAGTGGATGTCTGGTCAGAGCCTCAGGCCAGGCCAGACTGTCCAAATTGGATTTTCCAAATGTTATGACAAGCTTGTTGAATTTGGCTAAGTTGATTAAATATAATTTCAATCTGGTTTGTTTTTCCCCCTCCCAATCTAAAAATGTTTATTGTATTACAAAAGTAGTACACGTTATTTACGTGTATGCATGTAAAATTATCTCTTTTCTGCTGATTGAAGTACAATTTATCATCACACAATGTAGGGTAAACATCTGAGTCAAGTCTTTGAACAGTGGTTAGAGATTCAGTTGGAATTGCCGAAAGCACCTTTCTTGGACTGTCCATAGGATTTTCATAATCTCCTGGGGACAAGTTATGCTTCATAAACTGATAATGCAAGAATGGCAACCTACCTAGTTAATGTAAAAGGTTGCTTGCTTAATGTATTTTCTGCCGTTATGAGACACTATTGTGTTCACATGTTAATGCTCTGCTCCTCTGAGAAATCAGCTGCAACAAGCACTAAAATATTAATATGGCTGTGCAATAAACTGAGAGGCAGAGATGGTTTTACCAGCAGGTTTGGGGAGTTGTGCAGATGGCTGACCCTTTGCACACTTGCCCCAGCAGCCTCTAATAGATTACCGTGGCCATTATATCACCAGTCAGCTGTGCTGTACCATAGTTCTGAGGTGTGCCTTTTCTAAAGGTCTGAGATTACACTTCATGTCTAAAGCAGGTAACATCTGTCTGGTTTTCTTCTGTTCATTTCCACAGGAGTTGTACATTGCTGTAGGTATCTCTGGAGCTATTCAGCACCTGGCTGGAATGAAAGATAGCAAGGTACAGTCACTGTATGAAACCATTTTAGTGTTTTGTTTTCTGTGCATTTTCTTTTACCAGTTTTTTCTCCATATATTAAACTGAACAAAATGTTTCACCTTCAGTGTAGATTATATGACAACTGATGATATCAAGAAGCTCTCTTAAGTTTGGTCACAGACGTGTCAGAATTTGTGACATTTTGCATTTAGGTCTAAATTCCAATTTGAGTAATTCATTGATTTTTGTTTCTGTGCTATTGGCTAAGTAACAGACACATGCAATGAACATTTTAGGCAGTTTGTTTATTATGTTATTGTGTACAGGCCCTAAACATGTTCTTTTTTTTATTCAGACTATTGTTGCTATCAACAAGGACCCAGAAGCTCCCATTTTCTTGGTGGCTGACTATGGCTTGGTTGCTGATCTTTTCAAGGTAAGTGCCTGCTTGATGTAGCAATGTTACTACGATCTTACATTAGGAAACAGCCAAGCAGTGAGACAAAAACACCACTCATCCACCTTCTGTCTGGACTTACTAAGAGTCCAGAGTGACAGTCAGAATATAACATTTGCTTTCTCACTGATAAATTTTGCACGATGCCTTATTCCACCTAATGGAAATGTGCAACTGTTAAATTATTCAGTTCTTGAATTAATCAGATGAGAGTTGTGGCCAAGTTTGCTGTTTAAAAGAGAAAGCCATTGGCATCTCAGAAGTGATCAGTAGTTACTTGAAATGTGGCTTCAGTTTTGGATTCAGCATCTACTTGCCAGGCCTTTTACAAGCTTAGTTGCTTTCTTGTATCTAGCCGATACTTTGGGATAGTGAGCCAGGGGTGTTGGCATGACTAACACTGGAGTCCAGTGCTGCTTGTTAGATTTTCATGTCCTGTTGGTCATGTTTTATTTAGCCTTTCAGTAGTGCACGAGCAGCGCAGGTGTCCTGACAAACTTTGTAGATGTGATTAGTAATAATGGCTTGTGGCAGTAGAGTTGTGACCTACTGGGTGGGATCACCTTACATGTGATCACTCCTCAGATAGCTGATTAAAATGGATGGGCTCCCTACTTTTCCCCCAAATGGACAATTGATACCTCGGACCAACTCAGGTAGTGACTGATGATTTAGTTCTGAAGTTGCCCGACTCACAAGGAGAGCCATTTTGAATAATCTTGTACTCACTTGCCATACAAGGCTGTTGAATTTGTCTTCTTGTAAACTACACGACTGGCATTACCGGTGTGTGTATTTATGGGCGAGATGCCTCCCATGTAGAATCTTGCGCTGCATTTATCAACCTTACAGACGCTGTGATAAATGTTTGTGTGTTTGCAGCCTGCTGCGCTCTTGATAAATCTCAGGTGAAAGTCAATGTACTCATTTATACCGTAAGCACCGGCATGCATGATGGTTTGTGTAATAAACTCATAAATCTTAATATATGGAGGATGGTGAGGATGAAAAGGACAGGTGCTGGCGAACGTCCCTCTCTACAGGTAGAATCTGGAAATACAGTCCCCTCCAAAAGTATTGGAACTGTAAGGTAAATTCCTTTGTTTTTGTTGATCACTGAAGACATTTGGGTTTAAGATCAAAAGATGAGTATGAAACAAGAGTTCAGAATTTATAGGTATACAGGTATTCACATCTAGATGTGTTAAACAACTCAAGACATACCACCCTTTGTTTGAACCTACCCATTTTTAAAGTGAGCAAAACTATTGGAACATGTGACTGACAGATGTTTCTTGTTTCGAGGTGTTGCCTTTTAGGTTGATTGTCCTAACATTAAATAGCTCTGAATGACTAGTGGTTCAAACCTATAAAGACTGCATTTCCTGTTAAAGAGGATAAACCAACATGAAGACCAGAGAGCTGTCCATGGGAGAAAAGCAAGCCATTGTCAAGCTGAGAAAAGAAGGAAAATTGACCAGAGCCATTGGACAAACATTGGGCATAACAAGCACAACAATTTGGAACGTCCTGAAAAAGAAAGAAACTACTGATGTACTGAGCAACAGACGTCGAACAGGTTGGCCAAGGAAGACAACAGTAGTTGATGAAATATCGTGCGAGCTGTGAAGAAAACCCCCCAAAACATCAGTAAGTGACATCACCAACGACCTCCACAGTGCAGGGGTGAAGGTATCACAATCCACTGTTGGAAGAAGACTCAGAGAGCAGAAATATAGAGGACGCACCACAAGATGCAAACCACTCATCAGCAGGAAGAATCAGAAGGCCAGATTGAAATTTGCAAAGAAGTACAGAGATGAGCCACAAAAGTTCTGCAACACAATATTATGGATTGATGAGACCAAGATTAATCTCTACCAAAGTGATGGAAAGGCCAAAGTGTGGAGAAAGAAAGGAACTGCTTATGATCCGAAGCATAGTGGAGGTAATGTCATGGCTTGGGCGTGCATGGCTGCTTCTGGAACAGGCTCATTAATATTTATTGATGATGTAACTGATGATGGTAGCAGCAGAATGAATTCAGAAGTGGACAGAAACACTTTGTCTGCCAATTTACGGAGAAATGCATTGAAACTAATCGTGAGGAAGTTTATCATGCAGCAGGACAATGACCCAAAGCACACTGCCAACAAAACAAAGGACTTCATCAGGGGAAAAAAGTGGAAGGTTTTAGACTGGCCAAGTCAGTCACCTTACCTTAACCCAATAGAGCATGCATTTCTCCTCCTTAAGAGGAGACTGAAGGGAGAAACACCCCGAAACAAACAAGAACCGAAAGAAGCTGCGGTAAAAGCCTGGAATAGCATCACAAATGAGGAATGCAACAGTTTGGTGATGTCGATGGGTCGCAGGCTTGAGGCAGTTATTGCAAGCAAGAATTATGCCACCAAATTTTAAATGTTATTTACTTTAAGATTATTTGTTCCAATACTTTTGCTCACTTTAAAAATGGGTGGGTTCAAACAAAGGGTGGTATGTCCTGAGTTGTTTAATACATCTAGTTGTGAATACCAGGAAATAAAAGCTGAAATTCTGAACTCTTGTCTCATACTCATCTTTTGATCTTAAACCCAAATGTCTTAACAAAAACAAAGGAATTTGCCTTATCGTTGCAATAGGGGACTGTATTTCGAGTAGTCTCAGCAGTTATTAATGCAGAATAGAAACGGCTTGAACTTCACCTAATTGACAAAAAAAAAAAAATCTGCACTGGATTTAAGTTAATATGTGATTCATTGAAAAGTACACTGGAGTGATTGCAAACATGTAGTTAAATTCCTGCAGTAAATACACTTGGTCAGTGTAAAAGGTTAGTAGAATATTATATTTAAGTGTTAAGCACTGTTTTCTCTTCAGGCTGTTCCTGAGATGACTGAGGCACTGGGCAAGTGAGGAGAAACAACATCCCACCAAACGTCCATCGCACAGCTGGAAACCGCAGTAAGAAGAGTTCAGAGAGCGACTACAGGAACCCATGGCCAATGCCTTAACACATTTCTGAAGCTGTGAGTGTTTGCTCGTAGAAATCATTTTCATGATCAGCATGTTCTCTCTGACTAGAAACACAAGAACACTCTCAATCTAGAAAGAAATGCTGTTTTTTTAAAATACTGTACAAGCATTAAATTACAATGAAACAAGGTTGTACTTACCTCGGGAGATGTTTTATGTCTCTAGTAGTGACTGGTTGTAACATGTATTTAATTTTCTGGTACAGTAAAGGGCATCTTTGGGAATAAATGTCTCTAGGTCTCTGACTTTAACGTAGCTGACTGTAAGTCTCCATGTTAACCTGGGGGATTTGTACTTGTTGAGATGCTCTTGGAATAATGTATTAAATTGACAACTAATAACGAGTCTTCTCATTTTACCATGTTTTCCGTTTATTTGATTCATTTTGCATTGCCCTTTTTCCTTGATGGTGATAGAAATGCCTGTTGACGGTACAATAAACAGGGTTAGTTTTGATATTTAAGAGGCAAATCTTGAAGTTTCATGCTATAATTTTCTTTTAGAAACTTTTGTTGTAGCGCCACTTCAAGTCTCTCAATATTTTTTTGGCTGTGATATGATAAACCCATCTTGACATATTTACACAGCTTCCGAACATTAAAGTCATAAAAAGGTAATATTTTAGACCTGTATGATATCAAATATATCATGTGCAGGAAGATTTTCAATTAATTTGGTGCGTTAAGGACATGCTGCAGTTTGCAAAATCTCAGTAAACACTGACTCTGCTGGGTTTGGTCAGATTTCAGTCATGGCACCTGGTTAAAAACTGGAATCATCCATCAAATGTTTGCCACAATCTTTCCACTCATAGAATTTAGATAAAAATGTTAACGTTGCTAAAATAGAAAGAGAAAGATTAGAAAGACGTTGAGACTAATCCAATGGACCCTGAAGCAGTCCCATCAAAGAGGACTGTTCTTTGTGAGTTTGGAGAAACTAGAATGACATTCAAAATAGCTGATACACCTCCACTTGTGGTAAATCCATGCTGTGTAGTGCCAGTTGGTGGCCCTCCAATACATGGTCAGTCTAGCATCTCCAGTTCCTACAAAGTGTATCAGAGGAGCTAAGCCCTCAGCACCACCCCCTCACTGGTTTCACTTCCTAGAAATCAAACCACAGCTTACAGTTTTTCTCCATTGCTTAAACATTATAACCAGGCTTTTGAACTAAAATTTCAAAACTCCATTTTTCAAAGCGCACACCTATTTCCCTAAACTGTACACACAAATCCCTTCATTGCTCCTTGCCTACACCATGTGGTCATTGAGAAAGCACTAACATTCAATATTGTTCACTCAATCAGCACTAAATTGATTGAGAAGTTGATTAAGAATTGAGAAGTTGTTGATTTGTGTTTAGACTTTTGAGAAAAAGAGGCATAATTTCAAGAAATGTGTTTAAGCAATAAAGAAAAACTAACATTTCAAAAGCCAGATATTCCCGCACAGACCAGTTGTCTGAACATTTTGGGCTCGCGCCCTGTTGCTGGTTTCTTTTGGTAAAATTAGTCATAAAACTCAAAGTGTTTTTGTGAGTGTCAATTCCTGATAAGTGGTGCCTGATAACAAGTCTGCCTTCTCCGGTCTTCCATGCCCTCTGTTTTTGTGCTGCTCTGTCAAGTTCATCCCCACAGTCCCAACAGTAAGAAGAGGATGACAGACTATACAGTTCGTGTGCCAGTGAGTCCCAACAACACCAGAGTTTAGTTTGTGTTAATTTTTGCAGTTGATTTGAAGATCGAGTCCTGTGAAGTTCCACGTCTCAGGCAGAGGCTTATGTCTCCGACAGACGGTTGACCGGGGCGTCTACTGGCTCCATCATCCTGTACTTCTCCTCTAGAAGAGGCTCGTTGCCTTGCATGTGGATGAGAGGCTTGGAGTGCAGCCCAACTCTGCTCTCCTGGTTCCTCTTGTTGTAGATGTTCACCTTGTGCTCCAGCTCTGGGCTGGTTTTGGTGGAACCTGCCGGGCTGGGCGGTTTAAGGTTGACAGGGTCCAAGCCCTTTTGGGCGAGACAAGAGTCCTCGGTCAGAGAGGAGAGCAGCTCCTGCACCACAGCGCTGGGACTCCCTCGCGGCTGAGTGCCCCGGGCTAGAGGGCTGCTGTAGGGTGGGGGGTAGCAGCGTTGGTCGCTGTAATCTGTAGAAGTGGAGGCCTCGCGCACTGTGGAGCTGCAGTCCGTGGTGGAGCCCAGCGTGTGGCTGCTGATGCTGTGGTGGGCGCTGAAGCTGGTGCGGGACACTGTGGTGGTGGAGGCTTCGCTGACCGAGCTGCCAGTGCGCTGCAAACGGCTTGATGTCACTGCGTCGGCACTCACCAAAGATGAGGGAAGCTGGCTGGGGTTGTTGGGCAGGTGCACGTCTATGGCTGCTGTGGTGATGTACCGTGCAGGATCTGGGATCCCCATATCTACAAGAACAACACATCATGTGCAGGGTCTTGAAATATTGTGGTGCTACATGGGCTGTAGAAAACAGTGAAGCAGGAACTTGATACTCACCACTGCTTGGCTCACTGTAGTACTGGCTTATGTAGTTGTTCATGTCATCTTGACCATGGTGATCTAAAGATGGTAAAAATGTAATTTAATAAACTTTCTCAGACCGTGTATTTAGAAGTTATTCATAGGTAGCCTGCTTTAACACACTACCTTGAATTTACCATTTATTTAATACACTTAAAAATGTAGTTGTAAGCAGATGTGTTTATTAACAACTATAACCTCCTGTGGGCTCCTATTAGTGTTGATGTAGCCTATGTATACTCAGCTGCCAGGCTTTTAACCAGAACAAAGAAATATGACCACATTACTCCTATTTTAGCTTCATTACACTGGCTCCCAGTATGTTTTAGAATTGACTTTAAAATTCTATTGATCACTTTTAAAGCTCTTCATGGCCTCTCGCCTTGTTATATTTCTGACCTTTTAGTCCCATACGCACCAGCACGTACCTTGAGATCCTCGGGCAGAGGTCTGTTGTCTGTTCCAGAGTCTCAACTGAAAACTAAAGGGGACAGAGCGTTTGCTGTCAGGGCCCCGAGGCTCTGGAACAGCCTGCCCGAGGAAATCAGGTCGGCTGAGTCAGTGAACTCTTTTAAGTCCCTTCTTAAAACATACTTTTATAGGAGAGCTTTTCCCGATCTTATTTGACTTTATTTTATCCCTTTTATTTTATTGTATTTTACTAATTTTATATTAAATTTTCATGCTCTTATCTTTTTTTGTATTATTCTTTACACTTGTTAAAGCACTTTGTAACTTGTTTTTGAAAAGTGCTCTACAAATAAGGATTATTATATTATTATATAAACAGATAATGAATGATAATAAAGCGTTGAATGATGATCACAGTTGTAATAATGTCTTCAAAGGAAAAGAAAGAAAAAACTAATTGCTGACAAATACTGTATAATAAACACTTAAAATGTCCTTATATCGGCTCACAACTACAGGATAGTGTGTCGTAAACCATGTACTACATGTTTCTGTACTGATCATAAATGCTAAATAAGGGGACTTAAAGTGTTACGTAAGAAGCTCATGGTATCTAAATATAGGGATGATATTTTTATGCAATTGTTATTTTCATATTTAGTTATTCATTTGATCTATAAAATGTAAAACATTAGTGAAAAATACCTAAATGAATCAAGCCCAAGATGATGTCCTCAAATTGCTTGATGTGTCTGACCAACAGTCCAAAACCAAAAGGTATTCATTTTACAATCATGTAGAGCAGAAAATCTTTACAGAAGGTGAAATGAGTAAATGTTTTCCTTTTTTTTTGATAAATAACTTTTGTTGGTCTACTAATAGATCAATCAACAAATTATTTTAGCACTAGCTGAATGAGCCACACTTGGTGTGGATGTGGTTCACAGATCCTAAATCAGTCAAAGTGTTTCTCTTAAGTGCTATCCAAGGTCCCACAGGGCTGTTGGATGGCTTATATATATTTATGTTTGGGTTTCACATATTAATTTTATGAATGTCCCAAGAGGGGCCACTCATTGTTCAGCCTTAACTGCGACAGGGACCATCTCCAGATGATCAATACAACATGAGTATATGAGGAGTAGCCCGAGTTAAAGGGACGTCTGACTTGAAACACCGTAGCTCAGATTCATGGCAGGTCACGCTATGATTTATAGCTTTGATAAAGGAAAAGCCTCAGTGTTTGAGCCCTGACATCACCTGCACTGACAGCGCTTTGTTGCTTTAAGCCCTGTAAGTTATGACCTGTCACTGTGTGAAAGGTTTATAGTCCATCTGGGTGTGGCACCAGAATTTTGATGTGGATTGTGAGATTAATGTTTTTGAGAAAAGGACACAAACACTTTGCCGGTGTGTGTGGTGTCCACTATCAATACACTGTCCTACCCTCCAACTTGGAGCTTCAGAGCGAGGGGTTGTTTACTATGTGCAGAGGTGTCTGGTTTGCAGGGCGATGTTGTGCTAATGTCACTTTTAATAACCACAAAGGTCTCTGAAATAAGACTTCCTTACATCTGTTATGTTCTTTTGAAAAATGATGCCTATTATGTTATTTCTGACAGATCAGTGTTGTTGCTTAGCATGAGGAGAAGGAATCTCATTTAATCTTCCCAACAACCCCAAAGAATTTTAAACTTCAACCTTCTAATATGAGCCAACGTCTCATTCATTTCAGCCATCTCTTGTCTAGAAAGGCTGAAATCACTGAGGAAGTCTCTGCATTCAACCATGCACTTTGTGTGGACATGACGCACCATAGAAAGTACAGCCTGGATTCCCCCAGTGCACAGAGGTCTTTTATAGCCTGTACTACAATAGAGTAGGGTGTTGCAAGCGGTTACCTGCAGGCCCCCCTGGCTCTCTAGCTTTAGCTGGCCCATGATGCTCGGAGGCCCCAGGGGCCAATCCGTCCACCTCCTGGAAACTACTGCTCTGTTTACCCCACATATGGTGGATCTGCATGGCTGCTTCACGCTCTGCTACGAGATCCAGGTCCTGCTGGGCCAGGTGGGCCCTCAGCTGCCTGATTTCAAACTGAAAGGAAAGAGGAACAAATGGGAGAATAGGAGAAAATCCTATTCCTTTAGACATTCAAAGTAAATACAGAGAACTTTTTAAGACTGTTTAACACTAACAACATACTGTATATTCTACTTGCTAAGATTCCATCCACCAAGTATTTTATTTTTATTTTTACATTTATTAATTACATTGCTTGCATCACAGTTAACACATAGTACAGTGTGCATGTGCCAAACTGCACATTTCCAATCTCTGTAATAGTTGCAATATAGCTCTCAGACTTACAGTAGACACTCTTCTCTTCTGGGTTGACATCTGAGACATATAGCACTCAGTAGATGCACTCACAGTTACACTTATTAGGTTCAGCTGAGTAATATGACTTAAAAACAATAATAGAACTATCTTAAATTGTGAAGCAGTCAATATATTGTTTCGAGATAATGCACTGTGCTGGCTATCTGATTTCCATGAGATGTCTGTAAAAGTGTTATCTTGTGACAAAATGAGATCAAGTTAGTATTTATTTATTTTTCTGGCATAGTGCGTTACTGCCCTCTGCTGGTTATATGCAGCTACAAACTGTAGACTTTAAGTAGGTAAGACACATGAGACAGACAAGAGGACATACTGCCTGTTCCTGGCAGATCTGTGTGAGCCGGTCAAGCTGTTCCTCCCTCACCGCCTTGGCCTTCTCATACTGCTGGATCTCCAGCTCCATCTCCACCTTCACTTGTAGCACATAGGCTAAAGAAATAGGGCATATTATAGTCAGTTTTCGTACAAAAGAAACAATTAAAATCGTGACTGTTGATTTTAATTTCAACTAAACGCTACATTGACTTAATTCATTCATCCCTCTCCCAATGTGGATCTCGTAAATAGTGTTTTCTTGAAATAGAAGCCTGCGTGTTCTCCACATTCACTAGCACCTGACAAGGGGTATACTCCCACATACTCAACACAAGGTGGACAAAATAACAGCAAACGATGCTTTGCCTTTATGAGCTTTCAAAGCTGTTCAGTTCTTGCTGAGGTTGTGTCAGAAAAGGTGCTCACTTCATCGCAATCTTTTAGGCATTAGCTTGTGGTGGTGGGAATGTGTTATATATTAATATTTTAAAAACAAACACACTTTTACAGTTAGTGCAAGAGGTGACAAAGTTCAAACGTTGCTCACACTCTCACTCTCACACTGCTTTCACTACATACTGTACTGTGTTCAAAAACCACAAGGGGGAGCAACATAGTTAAAAAAGCATTCTTCCAAATAAATAACATGATCTGCATACACCTATATGATAAAGTGATTAGCATGTAGCAGCTGATGTGTGACCTTCAAACCAGAAGTCATTACGACAGATGATGTGTTACCTTTGCCCTTGGTGAAAAATAATGAAAAAAAGAACTGAGCAAACAACCTCAAGGTTGTGTTGCTGATACCGCAGAGAGTACACTGCAGTATCTATCTCTATGACCTGACAGTAAAGGACAGGACGCATAGGACATCAGCCCCCAGCTCCTCCCAGCCTCACCATCGATGATCCTCTTGACCCTCCAGATGCGCAGTGTGATGATGAGACCGATAGCGTCCCAGGGGCTGCTGGGGCCGTTGGCCACTGTGGAGGCCACCATGGGGGCCAGAGAGAGGACGATGACAGCTCCATCAAACACCTGAGAAAATACACACACACACACACACACACACACACACAGTTACAGTTATGTCTGTAGCTTCCACAGTGGTATAACATTGAGAGAATGACACTGCAGTGAAAGGGGTCCAGAGTAACAGGACTAATGGGACCTGTGGGAGCTTACCTCTACTTTGTTCTCTATGTAATCCCATATCCCCAACACCACGATCCGGAACACCGTCTGATACAGACAGAGGGACAGAGATAGCGACAGTGACCAGGTTACACACATAGTAAGATGGTAAAACAACAGCTAAACAGAGAGACTGGATGATGCAGGCAGAGCACACTAGGTAGCATTTCCCAACAATAAACCAGACAGTCCCAGTAAATGGCATTTGCAGTTGCGATTCAGATTTATTTTGTCCATGCACTAGTAATTCATCAATGACTTCACATTCATTCACATCAGAGATGGCATGATAGAATTCCATCCTAACAATTAGAGACACTGCATTTAGCTTCTTCTGCTGGTGCAGCAGGGGCTGCAGAGGGCAAACAACTCTCCCTTTGTATCGGTTCCTCTTCTGTCATCCCCTAGCCCCCATTTTCATTCTAGACATTCAAAGTTGAACTTGAGCAGAAACCCACCTGCCTACTGTTTCTGCTCCGTAAATGTATCACTGAAGGCTTGCTTTTATTGATAAGTAAAACCCCAGCTACACAAAAGTTAGCAGTGGGGTGGTCAAGTGTATGGAATAAGACAAATGTGGCTGGCTGTAGGGAATCAATACAGTACACCTGCAGCATTGAAATTATTTAAAACTAGCAGCACAGAAAAGCTCCATCTGCATTTAAAAGTGTTTGTGCTGCGGATCAATCGAATAACCCGGGAGGGACCGACTGTGCCAGCTTTAACAACAGCAGTTATACAAGTTCTTTCAGAATTCTGATGTAGATCTTTGTTGGGTGATTTCATAGTCACTTCCATTAGTAAGTAAGTACACTATTAATGGAGCTGTACTCAAGTTCACCTTCACTAATCAGAACTAATCAAGCTGTCAGAGAGGGCATGGGGCGTTTCACGGTGGTGTTGGTATTCTAATGAGAATCTGCCGCTGTACATCACTGGCCCCACATACTGCACAACATAGCAGTAATGGACAGGCTGCTGCATCAGCTGTAAGTGAGAATGTTTTTGTGTTGAGCGAGGGGAAGGTAGAGACTCACCTCAGTGAAGAACACAGAGAGAATAGCCAGGCTGAGCCAGTGGATGATGCTAGCAAACTGGAATGCATTATTAACTGTAAGGGGAAAAAACAGAATAACTGGGGTTTTTTTTTTGAGATGTGAAGTGATGAAAGATGGATGCTGTAGTATGTTTTTGTTTAACATTCACAAGGTGCAATAAAGTGGTGAAAAAAAGCACATTCATGCATATACACATACATGCACAGACAGAGGCAAGAAGCAAAATCTGAAGTATGAATTCATGTGTCTGTATCTTCCTGTCTATTCATCAGGCTAATTGTGGACAGCCTCAGACAGTACTCGGCTGTCAACTGAGGCATTTTTCTTCACGCGCCACCTCTCTCTCCCATCTGTCTTTGTTTGCTGTGTTCAGTGATCTGTCTATCAGTCCATTCATCTTCCTCCAGTCCTCCCCACACTCATCCACCAGCCAACTCTTTATTGCCTGATTTCTTTGTCCGCTAATCTCCCTTCACGCATTTATCTTACTTTCCCTTTGTCTGCCCCGTCATGTCAGTCAGTCAGTCAGTCCCCGGGGAACAGTGAAGACTTGAATGCATTTGAATCCTGCTGGAATTACATTTCCGCCGTGTGTGTTCTTCACTCAGCCCCGTGACATTAAACAGGTCAAGACCCCTGACCTTCCACTTATGATAAATGAGGATGTCTCCACCATGCCATGATGCAAATGAAAGTGGTACTAGGGTGACATGGGTCGCAGTCATAGGTCGCAGTGGTATTTTGACCACCTGACCTTTTGTGTTAACTGTAGAAAGCTATGGTAATAGGAGGTTTACATTCCCCAGACCATGATTGATCAGTACCTCGCATCATTTGTTTGATCATTGTGGTAATTTTCAAACAGAAAACTCATCATATAAATTTACTAGAGCAGACCTCTTAATCTGCCTTCAAGCAGAACTTACTGTCAAAAGATGTAAATCAATCCTACCAAATTCATAGCAAGACTCTGCTGACCAAGAATAGTCCATTTACTTTCACTTTAATTTCGGCAGACCACCCTTAAAGGGTTAAAGATTAAAGGTTGCAGGTATATGTAAAGAGTTTTAAAATCTAATAAAGTTATATTGGCGGATAAAATTGCTACCACAGTGTGATAATTTGCAGTTGATAAATTAACTTCTAAGTTCTTTTTGGAACTATGCAAAAGAGACATTTTCTGCTTCATTACTGTACTTCAAACACACAATTTTGGGGTTATTAATTGGCTGACATACAGTATAGGCCAATACCGATGTATCTGCAAAAAGCCAATTTAGTCTGGCTAATTTATTGCTGTAGCTCTAGTAGTAAGTATAGTGTTGTAGATTATTGCATACTAGTACAATATAGGATAGTACAGTGGGGGTGTGCTTCAGTGATGACTTTCTATATTGCTATCATAGGCACAAAACTGTTAACTGTAACTACTATTTAAACTAGTTATCACTTGCTGTTAAGGCGGCTCACCACTAAAAGATAGGTGACTGTTAGACAGATTGCCAGATGCAGGTAATGTTGAATATCTGTAATTAAAGAAACATTCACCTTTGAAATTTTTTAAACAGATTGTCACACTGTGAGCGTGAAAATGTTTTTATACTTTTCTGTTTATTATTCCTTTGCTTTCTTCCTTTATGCCCACCTTTAACCCTTCTGCCAAGATAGCCTTCCATCCAAACTGCAGTTCAGTCTAACAACGTGATAAGTACATGATCTTTCTGCAGCTTAGTTTTTGTGCATATTACAGTAAGTTCGTGTGAACTTACTCCTTTGTCATAGGTCTCCAGTCTATACATTGACCCAATGCCTTTGTATAATAATGAGTAAACAATTATGCTGTCAACTACAGAGTCAAGTAACAGTCAACTTTTCTCCCTCTCCACAAACATTACTGCAAGTCAGGACCATAAACAATGAGTGTAACAAACCTCCTCCCAAGGACAAAGTCCTCAAAACCACATCCTTATTATATTGATAATCTCAGGCGACGTCACACTGTCTTGGTTTCCACCACTCACACTGCAGCAGCTTGGTGTCTATGAGCAGCTCCAGCGTCAGCAGCAGCACCACCAGAATGACACAGGCCACCAGGAAACAGTTGAAGCCCACTGACAGCAGACAGACCTGCCACAGCGCAGCCCTTCGCCCACAGCACGGCTTCAGCCAGTTTGACCTGACCGGGTAGGGGGAGACGAGGAGAAAAGCCGGTTAGAAGAGCTGTGTGTACAAAGATAAATGGTGGGTTCTTGTTGTGGTGTTATTTTAAAATGTAATACTGCTCCAGAGTGTGGATCTGATGGGCAGCATCCAAGGTCAAATCAATAAAACACAAGAAACGTCAAGATACACAAATCGTGAGGTGTATTCAGCCTTGACTTGCTTGTTTTGTTTTTTTAGCAGTCAACCTTTTTTTAAATATTTTTCAGCAGAGGGCACTATTCTGCATACAAATTCAGAGCATGCCTGCTGAAATGAATTTACACTCCTAAATTAATTGTGAAGCATAAATACACGTTCTGCTAATTCTGTTCAGGAATTCATGGTGTCATTGCTTTGTTGCCTCTTTCCTCATCTCCTCATGAAACCATTCATTATGACCTTTTCTGCAACCTCCCTCTTACCATTAAAGCTGTCCTTTTGTGCATCACCAGGCAGTGTACCCTACTTATTATAACAGCCATTAGTTTGTTTGTGTCTATTTTTGGAAACAGATTACATGACATTTATTGTAATCCACATTCAAGCATTAAATGATTTGTTTTGTCTGTAACAGAACATGCTTGAATATGTAGCACTAATAGATTTAATGCCTGAAATAACAACATTCAAAGAACAGATGAAGTCAGTAGGTGTATTACGTTCTCTATATTTTTTTTACACATATTACACATCTATAACCTCACAGTCAATAACGTATAGTTCTGGAGAGATTAGAGTCTCCTGTGTTTAATGCCCCTCTCTGCTGCTTGGATGACAGGACAGGTCTCTGGGTAAAAACTGGCTATAGCTGACTAACTGAATGACCATCTGGGCAACTGCTTTGCTAACAACCAGGCTGGTAGTTAGCTCACTGGCTCTCCTCTTGTTCGAGCTCTCCCGGCATGACAGTGGGGATGCATGTGTACCATCTGGAGGGTGCAGTCCAAACAGCCAAAAAGATGATTGCTTAACTGAATGACAATGGCTTCATCTGATTTTGCCATGACAGTGTTTATACTCTCATACCTACATGCCAGGCTGGTTGTTGAGAGAGCATCAGAAGGAATGGGTGAGGGAGAAATTTGGGTTAGTCATAAGACACTTTCCTGATCTCTGGATCTGTGTTATATACACACTGTCATTCCTGATTTAGAAGCTACTGCTTTATACATCTTCCTCCACATTTCCTCCACAATATTTTTTCTATTGGTGTGGAGTCTGCTGGTGTCCCTCGTGTGCTTGCTCCTTGTCCAGGTACATTGTGCCTGAAGATGTGAGTGTCAAACCTGCCTTAAATCCATCCCTACTCTCCCCTTCACGTTCCTCCAATCAGAGACTGTGTCTGACTAAGACTCCTGGGGATATATGGTAAATAAATAATGACAAATCTCCAGGTGGAACACAGGGCTTCCCCTTCTTGTCACAGCTCTGCATATTACACACACACTACTCAGATGTACTCCTAGAAAGCCAGATGCAGGAAGGAAGAGGTGTGTGTGTGTGTGTGTGTATGTGTGTGTGTGTGGTTGCTGTCCTGTCTCTAAGGCAATGCTGAGAAAGCCAGTATGCTTCTTTGAAAATAGCAGCTATCTGTTGTCGCCTGTCCGTCATAAGAAGTATGCTACAGGCAATGTCTGTCAGAGGACAAGGGAGGATGCAATTTATTCCACTCTCCTCATACACTGGGAGAGGGAGCATGGTGCTGCCTGTTCAAAGGCATTGGGACTTGTCCAGAAGTGGAGAGAGAGACAGAGAGGAAGCAGGGGGAGTTGGAGAAAGGAGAGAACAGAGAAAGATGCAGATTGCGTTAAAGGATAATTCCGTTTTTCACAACTTGGGTCTTATTTGTGTAATATTGACCATCGTTCCTGTTGGTAATGATATTGCTGTACTCACCAAGTTAATTGCTAGGATATCCAATGGGTCATGATATACAAGCAGTCAGAAGATCATTCAGGTTTAAACAAACCCCCAAGTCAGCTAAACTTATTTGGAAGTACAGTAGGGCTGCAACCAATAATTATTTTCTCAATGAAATGATCAATCGTTTAGTCTATAAATTGTCAGGAAATAGTGAAAATGCTTGTTTCAATTTCCTGAACGACAACATGACATGTTCAGTTATCTACTTGTGTCTGACTCGCAATCCACACCCCAAAAATGTTTAGTTTACTATCATATAAGGCAATGAAAAGCAGCAAATCCTAATATTTGAGAGCTCGAAATAGGGGATGTTTGGTTTTCTTCCTGTGGTATTGTCGCTGATGATTTTTGTGTCAATCGACTATTATTACCTAAATTGTCCTTTATAAAAAAAGAAATCTACTGAGTTTACTGACAGACTTTCTGGTGCAACTGTACTTGTGCAAAAATTATTATTGACATTTCGGTCGCTTGATTATTTTAGTCCAAGAAATGTATGTTTTAACTTGTCCAATGGGTCTCTTTTTTCTTGACCCATTTGACTGCATTGCAGCAATGTCCCCATGTTCCCAGATATCAGCAATTAATTTGGTGAATATAATGTTACCAGTAGGAATCATGGACAAAATGAATGAATATCCATCGTCAACTGCTTATCCTGCGCACAGGGTCGCGGGGGGGCTGGAGCCAATCCCAGCTGACATCGGGTATACCCTGGACAGGTCGCCAGTTAATCGCATAGACACAACAATTCCTATTTCCTAAGGACAATTTAGGGTAACCAATCAACCTAGCCTGTATGTCTTTGGATGGTGGGAGGAAGCCGGAGCACCCGGAGAGAACCCACGCAGACACGGGGAGAACATGCAAACTCCACACAGAAAGGCCGGGGCAACCGGTGTTTGTACACACAACCTTCTTGCTGTGAGGCGACAGTGCTAACCAGCGCACCATCGTGCCGCCCAAACAAATGAATATATGAAATGAATACCTAAAATGCAATAAACTACAGTTATCCTTTCAGGTGAAAAAGAGAGATAGGATCCTTGTGAGTGGCGTGATTTTGCAGTTGCAGCTGGGGTAACACAGCGACACATTCTCTCCATCCTTTACCAAGGTCAGCAGAGAGGCTGGAGCTCGGCCACACTGTCAATGCTCTCCCAGAGGCTAACCAGTACCACTCAGCCCTCTGCAGCAACCCTCAGTACCAGCCAATGCCAACAGATTAGGAGCTCAACACCTGGGGTGACAAAGAGGTGGTGGAGGGCAGTGGTATCATTAACAGATACCATAGAGACTGTCCCCAGCACCAATTTGTTCCCAAGAAACATTGTCAAACCCCATCTGCCAGTGGAGGAGAGCCAAGAAAAAGAAACATTTACCTAATGATATGCCTAACACACAGTCACTTTGTGGACCATTAGTTAAAAAATAGAATGAGCAGCATACACTCCAAGAGACACCTCACTTACCTTCAGGAACGAAAAGCATGATTTAACTCATACTGTGTGGAATCATAATTCATTCAGACCTCTCCCACAAGCGAGGAAGAAAAGGTATTAATTTAATAAACCTGTAAAGAAAAACCCTGTCTGGAAGCAGAGTAAATGGCAGTGATGGATTACTCTAAGCTCAGAAACTTAATTTTAGGGAAATCACTTTAAACCTTGAACGCTGAGGACCTGAAGTATTTATGAGGAAGTGAAGCTGCTTTAGGGAGAAGCAAGCCAAGGGAGAAAAAAATCACCTCACTCTCTCCCAGGGTCGCAGGTGTGGCTCAAATAGGCTTAAAGGATGGTCATGCACACATACAGTATGTGCGTGCACTAGTAAACATCACACACAGACACATAGACAAACACACACACAATGTCTAGAACATTGTGTGTGGAAGAAATGAGAGATGCAGGATGGTGTGGACAGGTTCATAAAGACATCAACAGGCCAGCGACAGCAGTGGTAACACAGTGAGGGAAGATCGAAAAGTGCCCGACAGCAGCGCAGAGCAAGGGAATTAGATCATGAGACTGATCAATAGTGGCCTGAGATGGAAGCGATGGCACGCTGTACATGACACCGTTTGCAGCGGCCCTTGCAGCGAAATGGGCAGACAGGACAGAGCGGACAAAGACATCAGGCAGAGTGACTGGCACAGAGGATGGTGTTTGGTTTCTCTGTTGGGGCCCATTCACACAGACAGGACAGAGCTCTGGCTCCAGCCCCAGCTAAGTAACTTTCACTGAGGTGTCAGAGAGAGTTACACAATGTGTTGTGAGCCTATCACAATGAGCATCTCTTTCATTATACAGTCTCCTGTAATTGAGACAAGATAAAATACAATGTAAACTCGTTAGGTACAAGTTAAATGAAAATTAAATCAGAGAGGTGGTGCTCTGTTTGTTTGTGTGTTTGTGAGTTAAGAGATGGAGTGAGAGAGAGGGGAAGAGCTGCATAAGGAACTGAATTTCATTCAGAAGTAATGAGTCTGAAAGACTATCAACTAGTCTGAGGTATTGATTGTAACACACCTACACACACACACACACACACACACACACACACACACACACACACACACACACAACAATGAACAACTGCAAATACTATACTCGTTAAAATGTTTCCCAAGAAAAGCCTAAAATAGTGTTGCTCTGAATGACTTGCACTGCTTTGCAAGGCCTCTAAATAATTGATGGGAACTCTTGATTGATGTCTTGATTGCACATTTACAACAGAGCCACTTTGCTTGGTGAAAAACTCCAGCACATTAGGCTACAGACCTGTGGCAGCTGCCACACAATTACATTTGCTTCCAAAACGATTAATCAGGCTATGAGGCTAAAAATAAGTCTCTACATTGCCAAGACTCAGGCCACTGTGGCTAGCGGCCATTCATTTACTTAAGCGCAACTACAAATTATGAAAACATTTTCAAATTGGTCACTTTAGTACAGTAGTTCCCAACTTATCTGGGTCATGCCCCTTGAAAACGAAGCAGCATCTACTGTACATGTGACCCCTAATTTCAAGTTATGGTCTGTTCAAAATGTG